GTGGGTGATGTCTCTGTAATTGTGCTCTATTTCTCCACCTTTATCTGTTACCATTCCTGGGTACTTCCTCACTAATAATAAGAATGAGGTAACTCTATCATCGTGCCATTTGGCAGCTGAAGAAACTGAGGGTTAGAAAGAACAGTAAATTGCCCAAGGCCACGCAATTCATAGTCTTGCCCATTCTTTCAGCCGGGCTTAAATACAACCTCCTTCAGGAAGCCTCCTGTGACTCCCCAGCCTGTGACTCCACGTCGCCTTCCCATGTGGCAACCCTGTAACAGACGGAACATTTCTGCATTTATTTCAGGCTAGGCCGAAATCAGTTGCCTTTAAAAATATGTATCTGATCCAGTCATTCGCTGCTTAAAACTCTCTGATGGCTTCCATGACACTGAATAAACGTCGTGTGTGATCCGCCTCCTGCCTATCTTTCTGACCTCATCTCCTTCCACTTCTGCCTCACTCCTGCTGCTCCAACCCCAACTCCAACAAGGCAAGCTCATTCCCAACACGAGGCCTTTGTCCTTGCCTTCCCACTCTGCCCGGATCTCGTGAGGCTGGGTCCTCTTCATTCAGGTCTCTGCTCAAGTGTTGCCTTCCCTGGCCACCCAATCTAAAACTGCTCCCTCTGGGGCATAGTTGTAGAACCTACTTAGACATCGGGACTGAACTACTGGACTTGAAGGTCAAGGACCATAGTCTCAGGGGACATCTAGGTCAGCTGGCAAAACACAGTTTATAAAGACCATGTTCTACATCGTAGCCTGGTGAATAGCATCTGGGGTCTTAAAACCTTGTCAGCGGCCATCTAAGAAGCAACTATTGGTCTCTTTTCACCTGGAACAAGGGAGAATGAAGAAAACTGAAGACTTAAGGAAGCAATTAGTTCAAAGGACTAACGGCTTACATGAAACACAGCCTCCTCTAACCTAAGAACGGAAGATCTAGATGGTGCCTGGCTACCACTACTGACCACTCTGACCGGGATCACAATGGAAGGTCCTACAACAAAATTCAAACTCCAAAAAAACAAAAAACACCAGACTTACTGTTCTGAAAGAGACTGGAGGAACCCCCGAGACTATTGCCCTAACACAACCTTCTAACTTGAAACTGGAGACCCTCCCGGAGGCCACCTTTCAGCCAAATCATAGATGGGGCTATAAAATAAACAATAACACCCGTGAAGAATGTGCCCCTTAGAACAATCAACGGTACGAGACCAAAAGGCAACACGTGCCCAAAACCAAAGATGAGAAGGCAGGGAGGGATAGGGAAACCGACTAATGGGAACGGGGAACCCAGGGGGGAAGGGGGGAGGGTGCTGACACCCTGTAGGGATTGTAACCAAGGTCACGGAACAACTAACTTGTTACCTAAACTTCCACCTAGAGCACAATAAAATGTTCAAATAAATAAATAC